CCGACGGGTCACCAAAAGTCTCTATGGCGTCGTAAAGCACGAGGAGGGGGGCGAGGGACCCCTTTAGGCCTCGGTTTTACGCTTTTCGTCTTGTTTTTACGGTTTATGCCCTTTTTGTACGTTTTACGCCTCTTTTTTATGCTTTAGGGCTTTTTGGGTTTGATGCTTTATGCCCTTTCTTTATACTTTACTTTTTTATGTTTTACGGCCTTTTTTTTTACACTTTATGGCTTTTTTTTTTATGCTCTACACCTTTTTTTATACTTTACAGCTTTTTTTTTTTTTTAATGTATTACACTTTTTTTTTTTCCTAATTGCCCCCCAGCTCACGGATTTCCTTTCTTTTCGTCGCCGTTTTCCTTCTTAATTTCTTCGTAAAGGGCTTCGCCGCCTCCTTTCTCGGCCCCCTCCCCTGTTTTGGCGTTGGGGACCCAGAGCCCCGAATCGATGCATCGCTGCATGTGGTATTTGGCCTCCTGAAAGAGATGAGGAGGAGGAGGAAGAAGGCTCGGGGGGGCGTACCCTGCTGCTCTGTTAGGTTGAGGGAACCCCCCTGGGCACCCCCAGAAGCCCCCCCTGGGGTGGTGGGAGTGGAAATACTCACGGTGGGATCCATTTTGCTGATCGTGTCCTGCAACATCTGAACGTCTTTTACGTCAAAACACTTCTGCAGCTCCTGGCAGCTCCTGTGAGGCCGAACAGAAGCGAAAGGAGAACATGAGGAAAACCCCCCCGGGTATTAAACCGTAACCCAACTTTCCCCCTTTTATCCCCAAAATTAAAAAAAAAGCACGGGGTGACACTCACGGGGGGCAGGGACTCGCTTAGACCTCCACGGGGTCGAGCCCCCCGGGGCCCGGGCGTTTCTGCCGCTCCTCTTCCTCGTATTCCTTCATCGCCTTCTCGATGCGAACCTTGGCTCGGCCTCGCACCCGTTCTTTGAAGGCTTCCAGCTCGTCGTTGAAGCCCTCCATGTACTGCTGGTCGGCCGTCTGCGAGGAGAGGGGGGGGTAACGGGGGGGCTTT